AACAGAAATAACAATCACAAAAGGAAAGTAAAGGAATCTAAAAGGAAGTAAGGTCAAGCATGATGGCGTACAACTGCCCTGAATTCAATCCCAACACTGAGGGGCGGGGGAATGAAAAAATTCAATGGCATTCTCAACCAACAGAGAAACCCTACCCCAGGGATCAAGTTCCTTCCACCTCGATGTTACTTCACATTCCTTTTCTACTTCTCTTTCAGAGCCCTTCGTTCTTTTCAAGGATAATATCATCTACTTACAAATTTAATTATATCCCTTTCTATAGTTCTTAATTCCTTTCTCTATAAACTCTTCCTCTTGACTTAACACTCACAAACTGACTGCACCAGCTCTTTCCTTGGAGGTAACTTCCAGGATGCCAACCTGCAGTTTTACTCCTTTTCTCCTCCAAGAAGTGTTTAATTACCAACATTAAATGCCCAAAGCACACATACCAAAACCGATTGTATTCTGTGCCAAAAACCAAATCTCAACAAATTTACTTACATTCATTTAAATTTATGTTTGTTTTTATTGTCATTTTAAGATAGGGTATTGCTGTGCAGTTCAGACGGGCCTTCAGTTCACTTTGTAGCCCAAGTTGGTCTCGAACTTGCAATAATCCTCCTGCCTCAGCCTGCTAAGTGCTGGGAAGACAAGTGTGCATCACCATGCCCAGCTTCAACAAATTTAAAATAGCTGAGATCATTCAGAGTATGTCCTCCAACCATAATAGAATCAAACTAGAAACCAGAAACTGAAAGATGAAAGGAAAATATCCAAATACTTCTAACACAATACATTTCAAAATAATCCTTAAGTAAAATAGGAAGTCTCAAGGGAAATAAAATATACACTAAATTGAATGAAAATAAAAATACAAAATATTACATTTTTGGGATATAGCTAAAGCAGTGCTGAGAGGGAAATTTATAGTGTTAAATGCCCTCATGAATATAAACGCAAAACTTTTTAATAAAATAGTAGTAAACAGAATTCAGGAATATATACAAAAAATCACTTACTATTCAAAAATCAATATATTTTACCATGTCAAGAAGAAAAACTGTGGGGCTTGGGGTGTACTCAGGGGTAGAGAGTGAGATTAGCATGTAGGTATAAAGGAGTACAAGGATGTGAATTTGATCCTCAGTACCAAAAAGAAAAAAGGAAAGAAGAAAAGAGGAGAGGAGGAGCCACAACATACCAGTTTGATCCACAAAAACAGCAGACACAATTCAGCATCCACTCATCAAAACTCTCAAAGACCGGGGTGGAGATTTAGCTCAGCAGCATAAGCACCTGCCTTGCAAGCAGGTGGTCGTGAGTTCGATCCCTGGTATCAATATTAAAAAAAAAAAAAAAAAAAAAAAAAACTCGCAAAGACCAGGAAATAGGGAGCTAAATAGTAGTAAACAGTCCTAGCATCAACTGTGTAGATCTTTCATAAGTGGGAAGGAGGGTGATCCTAGGAAGAGAAGAAATAAAGGCATTGCACTAGAAATAAGCACAGTGCCTCTGGAAAAGAAGAATGTGTGAGTGTGTGAGTCTGTGCATATGTTGTGCAATAACAGAAATACAGGGTGACTAAAGAAGTCCCTAAACCCAGAGTACATAAGTTCAAATGCCTTAAAAGCTTCCTCACCAATCCAGCCAATCAAAAGCACCAGCTCACTAAAAAAACTGATGGACAAGTTAAAGAGGAATACTACTTAGCCAGTAAAACGAATGGGCTACTAAAAGACTAAATCTCAGAAACATTCAGCTGAGCTTTTAAAAAACATCATGTAACTATGTAAAATTCTAGACAAAAAGCAGACCAGGGGTTATGATTGAAACTTGTGAGGTTTGGCTACCTGCCAAAAGGAAGCAACAGAATTGGGGACAGGGGCATGATGTAAATGCTTTATTTTTTTTTTTTTTTCCTGTCTTTTTGAGACTGGGTCTTGCTACACAGTTCAGGCTGGCCTTGAACTCACTTTGTTGATTCGTATCTTAAGTTATACCAGATTATACATGTAACTCAAGTTCACAAAACATTTTTAAAAAGCAGCTCTTTTCCAAACCTATTCCACATCCCCACCACTACTTTCCACTATCCAGTCTCTCCAACATCATTTTTTTGTAAAGGGTGGGGGGAGTCCCCAAAGCCCCATATGTGGCCTGTTAGGAACCAGGGCCCCACAACAAAAGGCTAGTGAGGGAAGTTTCATCTATATTTACAGCCCTCTCCACATCTCTACCATTACCACTTGAATTCTGCTTCCTGTCAAGTCAGCAAACATTAGAGTCTAGTAGTGGAACAAATCTTTGTGTGAATTACACACATTAGGCATCTAGGTTGCTCTCTGAATCATCTCAAAACCATACATTGGCATAATCACTCATTAAGTATGAACTGACTTAACAAACAGTAAGATCCACATCTAGTTCTATTCTATGCTCACTCCTTCCTCTATTCTCTTTCACATCCTTTGTCTTGGTCCCTTTTTGACCTACTGTCTCTTTCATCTGGTCTCTCCTCTTTCCTACATCAGCCCATATCTTAACTCATTACAAAAATAAAACTCCAGTTTATTTTAAAACAGTGGTACACAACTGCAATGTTGTAACACTTCTGAATCTCAACCAATTAGAAACAGTATCCAAGAAATCTGTTACTAAAAACAAAGTGCTAATGTTATATGTTGTTACCCAAGAATAACTGATGTATGGGTCACATAAACAAAAGCAGAAATGCAGTTACTCCTTTGTGGCCTTACTTTCCTGAGTATGAGAGAGCCTTTTCCCTGAACTTGCTGAACATGGCTAGGCTTCACAGTACAATCCTGAAGTCCGTCCCAGCACTTGGGGGAGAGGACAGAGTCTTTTGGCAGAATGATCACTTGGGGCCGGGAGTAGAGACCAGCGCAGGCTATGCAGTGCAACCCTCTCAATAAAAGAAGAAGAAGAAAAAAAAAAAAAAAAAAAAAAAAAAAACCAGGACAGTACTCCAGACCAACAAAATTATGAAAAACAAGACTGAAAAAAATGTCACAGACCAAAGCCTAAAGACACACGATGCCTAAATACCTTGTGGTACCTTCGAATGGATCCTGGAATAAAAGACTATTAATAGAAAAACTGGAGAAGGGCTGGGGATTTAGCTCAGCAGCATAAGCGCCGGCCTTGCAAGCAGACAGTCGTGAGTTCAATCCCCGGTACTGATAAAAAGGAAAAAGACAAAAAAAAAAAAAAAAAAAAAGAAAAGAAAAAGAAAAACTGGAGAAATCTAAATAAAGTCTGGAATTTTAGTTTTAAAAAAACTTGTATGAAGCACTAACATATGATTAAGATTCACATTTCTTATTCTTCTTTTAAGTAGGTAAAGAGACAGAGACAGCAAGAGAGCGATGGGGGGGGGGGGGGATTCCGGGAGCAAAATGCCTATCCGGTGGCTAGGGTTTCCAGCCGAAAAGCTCCAAACAGATCATCTTCACCGTGACACTCGGCCCATCATCTCACCTGATGCCATGTAACTGGGATTAAGAACCCAGTTTTAATTATCCCAGTCACTCATTCATATTCTCAGCATTTATTGAGTGCCTACTGCTTACCAGGCACTAGGGACACATGAGCTAGAACAGAAAGCCACAATGCCAATTCTCATAAAGCGTAAACTCTCTGTTGAGGAAGCTGGACACCTAACAAGTATTTGCAAAAATAAGGAGAGCTCTACATTTTACAGTCTGCTCTTTAAAAAAAAAAACAGTACCAAACGAACTATCAGAACACCCATTAAAACCAGTTATCACTGGCACTGTGAACAAAGGCTTCTCAGATTTCAAAGTACACTCAACCTAGAATCCAGTGAAAGAAGCTCCTAATTCAGTCTTGTACGTTGCAGCCCGAGATTCTGCATCTCTTCCAGACTCCCAGGTGACAAGGAGTGAAGCTTGTCCAAGAACCATACCAGAAAAAGTAAAGCTCTGAAGTACAAAGAAACACCCCAAACTATCACCGTAAAATACAAGCGCCACAAAGGCAAGGTCACTGTACTCTCTTAATTACCAAAGCACTCCCAAAACTTAAAACCTAGACAGACAGCATCTGATTAATGCGTGACAAATAAACAAAGGGATACAAGATATGGACCAGTGCTGCGCTACTGTAGCCACCTGGCACACTTGGCTACTGAACACTTGAAATGTAGCTAGTGATTTAATAGTTTTAAATTTAACTTTAATTTAAATAACCACATGTGGTCAGTAGCTATCACTGGACGTAGACACAGTCTAGGTCTATGGCGTAAAAACCACTGGACTAATAGTTGGTTAGCTCAGTGGCTTTGAGAACGAGGTCAAGGTCACAACTTTGGGGGTGGGAAGGAGAGGGTCGGCAAGCCAAGTTGACCAGGTAAAAGTGGCAATGACAATGCAAACCATTCCAATTCTCAGGAAATCTTTAAATGGGCACTGTATCGATTATGAGCGAGTGAATGACATCTCATTCATTCATTCTTACAGGAAGGGCTGCCCCATTACCCAGAGCCCGCTACTTTCCTTGCACAGACCTCTGCGGATTCAGGGCCGGGTCCTCGCTGCGGGCGGCGGGCCGAGGAGCCCCCGCCCCCAGCAGCCTGCGCGTCCACCCCTCCCCCGTCGCGCCCGCCCGCCCGCGAGGGTCAGCCTGGTACCGCAGCTCCAAGTACCGGACGGCCGGACCCAGAAGCCATATTTAGCTATATTTTTGTCCATAAAACAAACTTCCGTCTTCTGAAAGAAAAACGGTTCTAACTCAATGTCAAACTAGGACGGAAACTCGCTGCTTGCCGCAGCTGCCAACAGGAGATGCCGCGCGTCCCTCGGCCCCGGAGTCCCTGACCCAGACCCGCGCCCCGGCCCGCGGCAGCGCGGCCACAAAGGGACGCGGGACGCGGCCGCAGCCGGGCCTCGCCTCCCGCGCCGGCCCCGCGCCAGCGCCAGCGGCCGCGGCCCCGGACAGCGGCGCGGGCGGACACTCACCTCGCTGCGCGCGCGGCGGCGGCGGCGGCGGCGGGCGCTCCTCCGGGCCGGCCCGGGCGGTCGCGGCGCGGTCCCGCGGGCCGCAGCGCGGGCGCTACTCTCGGGCCGCCGTCCGCCGCGCCGCCTCCTCGGCCACTGCCGGCGGCTCCCCCGGCGGGCGGGCGGGCCCGGCGCGGGCCCCGCCTCCGTCGCGCCCGCCCCCGCCTCTGCGCCGGGCCTCCCGGCTGGGCGCGCTAGTCCGGGCCGTCCCGCATGCCGCGCCGCTGCCACGCGCTCGGGGCCTCAGCGCGGCGGGCCGGGGCCGGGGCCGGGGCCGGGGCCGGGCCGGGCCGGGCCGCCCGCAGGCCGTCGCTCGGCGGGTCCTCACGGCGCGGCGTGCTCGGCGGCGCGGGGCGCGTGCGGCTGCGCGGGGGCGGGGGCGGGGGCGCGCTCGCCCTGCCTCGGCCCCTCCCCTGCGGCGAGCCCACCGAGCGCCGCCTGCGGGCCTCGGGCGGGCGGTTCCGGCGCCTTCCCGGCCGCCTGCGGCTCCGTGCGGCCTGGGCCGAGCGAGTCCCTTCCCCAGACCGTGTACGGACAAAGAGGCTGCCAGGGGGCGAAGCAGCACTCGGGCCGCTTCACGTCGAGCCCGGCGCGGGGCGAGAGAAAATGGAGCTGCCCTCACCGCGCCGCGGAGGCCCCGGGTCTGCCGGGCCCGCGCTCCAGGCCGCCCCTCGCTCGGGCAGAGCCACCTGTGGACCCGGACGGCGCCGGCAGCGCTTCCTCCTCGGGCCCTGCGGGTTGCGGGAGCCGGGCTGGGCCGGAAAGCGCAGCCGCACCTCAGGGACCGGAGAAGTGAAACGAGTGTCAGGAGCCCGCGGCGGCGTCGCCACCCTGCCGGGCAGCGCGCGTCCAGTGCCCGCGCCCCGCGCCTCGAAGGGTGGAAATCGGGCCTCGGTCAGTGTCTTCCCCCCTAGGCTAACCAGCCGTGTCTTTACTAAACTAAGTCGCCCGGAGGTTGCTTGCCAACCAAGAGTTAGGATGGTAAGAGGCCGTTCTATTTGTATTTCAGTGGTCCTGTGTAAATCTCTAAATGTACACTGTGCGTATAGGCCAAGAGTGTAGCTCAGTGATGCAGCGTTTTCCCACCGTGCACAAGGCCCTGGGTTCCATCCCCAGCACCACAGATAAATAAATGGGAGATAAAATTGTATAGTTGGTGTTCCCGTAACCAAAAGTTGCAAGTGAAAAATTTTACTGACGATTATCTCTGGAATTATACTGTCCTGTTTATTGATCCTGTACACCTTCCAAACAGTGTATTTGAAAATAAAAGGCTTTGTTTTAAAAGTACAGTATTTATATAATAAGATTGTTAGCCTCTTAATGTTTACAAGGAAAGTTCGTTTTGGAATAAAGATGTCTTAAAAATACTGTATACCAAAAAAAGAAACAAAAACCCTAGAGAAAAAAAGATTCAACTCTAACTAGAGAGATTTACAAAATCACGTAACAAAGTGATCCCTATCCAGAGTATATAAAGTATTCTTACAACTCAATAAAAAGACCTAATAATCCAATTAAAAAGAGAACAAAAAAGACGGTTTACGCAAGAAGATATGTAAATAATCAACAATTAATGTTCAGCATCATTAGTCACTTAAGGAAATGCAAATTAAAGCCCCCGTGGGAAAGTTCTTCACACCCACTACAATAGCTGCAATTAAAAAAAGTCGTGTTGGTGAGGAGGTGGAGAAATTAGTACCCTCATACATGGCTTATGGAAATGAAATAGTGCAGCTACTTTGGAAAACGGTTTGTCAGGTTCTTAAAACGTTATTCATGAAAGTTCCATTTGACCTAACATGTTTACTCCTAGGTATGTAGCCAAGAGAACTAAACATGTTTAGTTCATACGATTTATACATGTTCATAACAGCATTATTTGTAATAGTCAAAAATGACCAAAAAATAGTCAATCCAAATGACCAAGAAATGCTGAGTAAATAAACAATATGATGTGTGCATACAGTAAAACAAAGTACTTAGAGAACACAGAACATAAAAAAACTTCAAAAACAGGGCTGGAGGGCTGGGGATTTAGCTCAGTGGCATAAGTGCCTGCCTGGCAACCACGAGGTCATGAGTTCAATTCCCGGTTCCGAAAAAGGGCTGGGGATTTAGCTCAGTGGCATAAGTGCGTGCTTGCAAAGCAGTCGGGTGACTTCGATCCCTGGTACCAAAAAAAAGCGGGGGGGGGCAACAGATCTGGCTCAGCGACCTAAGTTCCTGCCTGGCAAGCAGGAGGTTGCAAGTTCGATCCCTAATATCAAAAAAAAAAAAAAAAAAAAAAAGAAAGAAACAAAGAAAAAGAAACTTCAAAAACAGTAATAAGCTGAGTGGAAGAAGCCAGATGCGAAGATACAAAGTGTCTAGAGATGGCAAATCTATGCATATAGTGTAAGGTGGTTGCCCCTGGCTAGGGGTAGGAAAGGAGCATGGCTGCAAAGGACACAAGAAGTATTTTTGCATTATAAAAATACTCTAAAATTAGGTTGTAGTAATGGTTGCATACCTGCAGATTTGCAAAAAATAACTGAATTAGTGCTTGAAACAAGTTTTATGGTATGTAAAATTACCTTTAATAAAACAATTTTTAAAAAATATGTCAGTGTAATGTTAAGTAGCACAAGATAAGAGTACTTTTCTAAAAATCTTGTTGTTCAGTCCATTGCCATTAAAAAAATAATAAAGGGCAAAACCTTCAAAACAAAAAGAAAAATTCTATGCTGCTTGTATTGTACAATGTAATAAAATCACTTTTCACACCTGGTGTATAACCTAGTACATTTACCTTTCAGCACCAATCTACACACTCCATTCAAGTAACGTTTCCTTCCTCTACCCACTAAAAGAACAGGAAATGGGGTAGAAAAAGGTAAGCATGTTTGAGAGGAGGAAGGAACTGGATGAACAGAGTTGAGATTTGCCAACAAAGGGCACAGACCAGGAATCCAAAGTAAAGACACTGACATAGTCTTTCCCACTGTTTTTCTCATGTCCCTTTTGTTGTATGACCAAGAACACACTGGTTTTCTTAAGTTACGCAGATATGTGTATCAGAGGGAGCACTACCTTTGAGCTTGATAGTAGTATAATTCAGATAACTTTCATGATTTAATGCATTTTTAAAGAATTTCTCATGATTTCTATTATCTTGCCATTGAAGAAATTTCTTGGTAAAAAACACACTGAAGTTGAAGTATCCCAGTGAATTAATCCATCTGCCCTGCATTGTCACTTCCCCTCACCCTGTGAAGCATACCAGAGGCAGCTGCTCCTCCCTTTGAATCAGTAACTCAGTACATTTCTTCTATAAGGCCCTCTTGAAATTGGTTGTTGTCTGAGTCTTCAACTTGTAAATAAGGCCTAGTGTATGGTACCTAACCAGCACGAAATCAAGGAAGTGGCGGTGAGGAAAGAGTCTTCGTCATGGGGAGATGTGATGATTCCCTGAGATAGAGTAAGAGGCCCAAGAGCAATTGATCCTTGTGGTAGGAGGACAAAGGAGAAGAAAAAAATAAAAGCTGGTTGCAAGAGCTGTGGGTGAAGCACCCATAGGATGGGAAGAAGGAAGAGGGTGATGGATGAAAAAGGAACAACCAAAGACAAACCCATGCAGGAGTCACATGGCATGAAGTATAACATTCAGTGATTTTTTTTTACTTTTTTGCCTTTGCCAAAGAAAGATCTGACGTGTCTACCTGGTGGCTGCAACTTGAGGAATACGGGTGTACCTTATCCTGTCATACCTCCCCTGCCCATAGCACACCATCACTCTGAATGATGCTGCACAGCTCTGAGATGCAGGAACAAGAGGGTGAAACCGAGTGAAGACAGGAGCCTGCTCATCCTTTGGGTGGTGATCGTGGGGAGGTCAGCAGTGAGGAAGGTGCCGTCCTGGGCAGAAAAAGGCAGGATGATAATCAGTCAAGAGCCTGGCAGCCTTGGATCTGGTGATCAAAGCAGAACATTTCATGCATTTGTGGGAGGCAGGACAGGTAACCCTCATGTCATTCCTTAATGACAGAGACAGGAGGAGAGAGTGAAGTAGCTTGTACAGGGCAGCTAGGCTTCCTCAAAATTTGGTTGCAACCAGAATCTTGGAATGAGTTCTGTGACCAGAATCATGGAAAGAATTAAGTTAATGAACCGAGGTACCACTGTGTCTCCATGCTTGCATTTTAATGCCAAATCAAATTATGGAGCCATATCTAACTTGTAAGGAGGCAGGAGAAGTCAGTCCCAGTATGTAGCCCAGAAAACACAGAAATACTTGAATTACAACACTAATGACTATCAGTGGTATCAATATTAGTGGCAATTTTTTTAAACTTTTTGCTTTGAGATAATTATACATTCATAGGAAGTTTTAAAAAGTGCAAAGAGAGGTTCTTTGTATTTTCTCCTCAGTTTCCTCCAATGACTATGTCTTATATAACTATAATGCAATGTTAGAACCAGTAAGCAGATATTGGTGCAGTGTGTGTTGTAGTCAGGGGATGCAGAGAACAATTAGGTTCAGGACATGGAGTTTATAATATTTTTATAATGATCACTGGGAGTTAACACAGGAAAATGCAGGAAATCTATCCACAACACCAAAGACACAGATTATTTAGTCAAGGGCTTAAACCCCACAGCACATGTCCCACATGAATCCAGATGAAAACCCAGAGCTCAGTACAATGCCTTCCATGAGTCCAACTGGAGGCCCAGAGCCCACAAGAAGGACTCACGCCAGTCTCTTACAGATTCGTGCCGGGAAGACCCAAGGGTCAGCGGTGGAAGCCAGAAAGTCTATGCCAGCAGGATAAAGGAGCTGTGCTAGTGGGATGAGGGTTCTACACTGGAGCCGAGAAGTCACACTCACAACAAAGAGCAGGGCTAGCCTGAAAGGCACCACAGCTGTCCTCAGCAACACAGAAGCCCTGAGCTCCTCCGACGACAAGCATAGTCAGGTTCGTGTCAGGAAGCAGCGTGACGAGTTCATCCTGGAGACCAAGCAGCACATGTGTTCCCCTCAAGAGCCAGGAAGCAACGCTTGATATGAGGACCAAAGCTTCTCCAGGAGAACCAACAGCTCAAACAGCAACTCATAGGA